TTTACACAATAAATTACAAGAGATTTTTGAAATATCATTCCCAAAAGAAGCGATTTTTGAAACAACATTCCTTACAGAAGTAAACGTTTGTATTTAAAAAATTCTATCTAAGAAGTTGAAAGTTTTAGGGTGAGAGTAGCCACTTAACAGGTTTTCCTTTTTGCATTTCATCATATTCCTTGATTACCCACGCGTAACCTGAATAAACCGATACTCTACGTATGTACACATATTTTTATACACAACACGTATTTCTCATTATGTTCGCTATATGAACTAATAAAATTTACATGAATACCAATATTTTTAAATAGGTTAATTACGAGTTATATAGGTTCAACATCAGAGCATGACTAGAATAAGTTTACGCATACTAATAATTTTAATGCGCACATTTCAAAGTCATAAAAAGCAAACTCGGTTCCATTATGGTGTGTTTTATGGACAACATACATTATCAACGACTTTATAGACTTTATCTAATATTATAACTGTGGGTACAAAACTTCTAGCTAATAGAAACACTGGCGACACCTACATTAAAATATTCTGATAGTCTGAGAAATCGTTAACTTACACAAGATGTAACAAATACATAAGTATAATCAAAGAAAAATCGTTTATGTAGGTAAAAACCTCTAAGGACTAAACTTACCTGTATAGTGTCTCCTATGTTTTCAAGTGGACTATAGTTTTTTCCCCTACTCTCATGGTCAATAATGAATGAGGAAAGTCTATATAATAGCCCAAAAAGTCTGGTTCGCCAAAAGAGAAATTTGTTTTTTCCTGGCTGATGAAACCACAACGTAACGTCATTTCCTGTTCATTCATTTTTCTTTTGTAGGTTTACTTATTGCACCGAATATGTAAATAAATAAATAATAATATGATCGAAATGGATACTTCTTATTTCATTAAATGGAATGGAATTTTTATTTTTGCTATCAAGGTTTTTGTGGATTAAAACCTTTACACCCTACCCGTGCCCGTTGGAAAAGCACTCATAAAAAATTTCAAGCATCACTCACCGTGTATGGTATGTCTGGATCACGAAAAGTAAAATAAAATAACGACTGGCATAACACATCCCTTTGAGGTTAAAAAGATTCCAGTTATTTGTTTATTAAGTCTTGTATACATTTAGGATTGGGTAATTAACCTATAAATATATTTCTAAATTCAAACAGAATTCATTTTATATATTTATCTATATATTATAATTTATAACTATTCTGTATATTTTCAAAAATATGTTTAATATGGTAATGTAGCCAAAATTTTCCTCCTCACAACACTCTAAAAAAACAATTCAGCTCGACAAAATTATGCAACCAAAACCGGAGGAAAATGTTATTCATTACAAATATAATCATTAACAAATAGAAATATAATAAAAAGTCCATAATTTGGGGACCTCTCCTTTTAAAACCGGTTTGAAAATAATGAATAACAAATATGTATGATTCATTAAATGAATACGAATAAGTGTCAACATAGATTAATGTGGACATAGTCTCACTAAATTCAATTGATATTGACTCAACTGGAAACTTGACCATTGTTAGATTTTTTTTAATGACGACAGATTACACCTGTTATACGTAAACTATATATACTTATATATATATATCTAATATATATATATGCTCATAACATGTTTATGCTGTTTTTTTAGAATGAATGAATAGTTCCAGAACATTTGTGGTTATATGTCACATTTAGTCATATGGCCCGCTTTTATTACACTTTTTACTGTTTACGTGGTAGGCTGCAGTAAAGTGTCAGCAGTACCTTTACATGTTGGAAGTCTTATAGCATTTGTGTTTTATTCCTGTATAATATAATTCTGGTCTTATGAAAAAGCAAACAAAGCGCTTAACGGACATTGACTTGCCAATAAATAGATATAGTTCTGTTACTGAAACGTGTATTAACGAAAAGAGGAAAGAAAAAAGACAACAAAACAAGCTCACCTATTCAAAATTTCGTTACATGTCACCGTATAAAAATAATTATAATTATGGTACGTCAATTATTGTATGGCAAGACTATGAGTTATTATGTAACTATAAGATATACTTATTATAGCAATATTCATACTAAAATTTAATGTCGCTTAAGTTTGGGTAAAATGAAGCATATGCATTAACGTAACCTATTATAATATAATAATACTTTAACTAATAAGAAACCTGTGATAAAGTAACAGATATACATATTTACAATATTTTACTTTTACAATATCAATAGTTCAATTATCTCATTAATTACAGTTATTCTACTAAAACTGAGTCACAACCAAAGAAAAACACTAACAATGAAGTTTTAAAAAAGAACAAAAAATATATGCAAGTATAACTATACTATATCTAACTATATTATATATTGATTACAGTTATCCGCTTAAAGTTCTAAGTACCTAATTCGTCCATAATTTATTTTAACAATTAATCCATGAAATTCAAAATTATAGTAATTGAAACACTGTCCTACTCAGAGACCTAATAACTCAAAGTCATCAAAGAAAACATGGAAAATTAATTTTCATAATGAAACTCAACCCTTTCAGGCTAATTGCGTTGCCGATGGTCGTAGTCATAACGTAATTATTTCTTGAGGATAATTCCGCATTTTCTTCTAGAATTCATCCTTACAAACACGAAACGAAACATCAATTACGGAGGTATTTACTACTCCACTGAATAATACCAATTTCCATTCCATATTTCACTACCATAAAACAAGTCAACACACAATGGTTAAACTTAAACTTACTACAAAGTACACCTGTACTCAACATAAAAGAAAGAAACCCTGGGTGCCAATTTCATTTCTATTAATTAGATTGTATGACATATTTTAACAAGACGCTGTAAATTTAATTTAAATATGCCTAAAACATCAAAGGCTGTCAAAATATCTAGATCTCAATATATTAAATATCCTATCAAAAGAAAAGTCATTTTCTTTCCGTTTATCTTTCTTTGTTGCCTGTCGTCTGTCCGATTAATTTATAGCAATAAAAAGAAGAAAGCTAAGACAGCGAGACTATGAAATCGAAATGAAAATTTGCATTTGTATGCAAGTCACCGTGTAATCGCTATTTATTGCGTCAGAATAGTGTTTGTACTTCTCTGTCGACCTTAGAGTAGCGGTTTGTATACAGTTTTCATATTGACTAGAAACGTGACTAAGGCGATATGGTACAAAGCCATTTAGATTAAAAACGTGTGTAGTGTTTATGTTGTGTACCTTATTGTATGATATCTAAGTTGAGATTGAAGTATTATTGAAACCTGTTTAGGGACCTGCTAATCTATAATTTGCCGTTTGTTATTACAACTGTTCATACCTCACGGAGTGTAGTGGTTTAGCACACCGCCGTACTTATTATTATTAAAGGTATGTATTTAAAGAATACTTTGTATTTATTTTTTTATTCATACTCTTTGTATTACAGAACAAAAAAACGAAAATAGAAAATATACATTGACTGATATAAAAGGCGTTCTTATTGCTAAGCAATCGCAATTTATATCAGTTATCTAGTCCTTTTAACACGAGCTCTGTTTAGTTTGAAACTAGATGGCGCTCTGTAGTCTCCTGAGATAGTTATCGTGAAATTTAGTTTTAATACTACATAATATACCACGTGACTCTTGTCACAGTTAGAGTAATACTCTACTAACCGCACTTCTATTACTACGATACATGGCAAGCACGAAGTGACATGCCCAATTTCGTAATATCTTACAACCCAATGTGGCAGAAGTAAAACCTACCTCCAATTCTCGAATAAATTTGGCTATCTTCTGTATTTCTATTTCAATATTAAATTCAGTATTTCTAACAAAAGTGAGTCAAAAATATAAATTTACTTAAAGGTTTTCTTGTGGCAGACTCTGCTTGCTGCTGCTCTACTGGAGCCTTGGGGTCTAGATTAGGGCATTGTATCACTCAACACTCTCAGAAATTAGATATAATATTATACACAATACGGAAAATAGTTACTTTGATTAAGCAATTTCTACATACAATCAGGCAGAAGGAGAGAAATAAATACTCGATAAGAATCGGGTATTTATTCCTTTCCTTCTGTAGAAAAAATTACTTATTTTCCTCCAAAATCATTTGCAATTTTAAGTTGCCAATATATTGTACAGTATGTGTTAAATGTAAAGAACGTTTTCTAAACCCTTGTCAAGCGAATAACCCAAGTTTGTAGTTATATGTACATATTACATCTTGTACTTAAGAAAAAAAGTAATATTGAACGCGTAAATGTAACTATAAATAGTATATTTCCTATCATATTATTCCTTCACACTACTACTGCCTGGAAAAGGTGCTTTATTCAGTACCTTTTGTGTGATAAATTTTGCTAAAACTTGACAATAATAAGATTTATGATATTTCTTTTCTCTAATCCTGTATTATAAAGTGTGTATTGCTATTAACATTTATTATTAATCATTAATTGTTTATAGACATATGGTGTCTAAGAATGATGTACTCTAGTTTGATAACTAAGATTATGATAACAAAATTACCTAATAAAATATTTTTTAATGTTTCAAAGAAAATTTTGCCCCGTAAATAATAACGCGTGTAAGTCAAACTACGTAGAGAAAGATACGTAGTAACCATTATAGATTACGTTAGTTGTTTGCCAGCGGATCACAAATTTATTAAATACTATTGTTTATAATCTGTCAATATATATATATATATATATATATATATATATATATACAGTACAAACAAAGGTCGCTGTTTTCTTCTGTCTGTTTCTTAGCTTACCTCTTACAAAGCCCTCAAAGTTTTTGATAAAATTTCAATATCATTTTGAAAATGACTTTTAGGTTTATATGAATAATTAATATATATATTTTTTTTATTTATATTTCACTAGATGTTAAATTGATTAGAATAAATTTATTTCACTAGATGTTAAACAAAGCAATATTTATTTGCTAGCATTGATTCTTGACTTGACTGACCTGCCATTTTGTGGATGAGGCGATGCGGCTCTCTCGCCTTGTACAAGGAATAATGAGCCCCGATCAGCGTCGAGGAGTATTGATACATTTTGTAAGATCTTGTGACACAACACCCGTACTTCAAGCTCATTGCAGATATCTTTGACCTGGGGATGAAACAGTAGTATTTAATAATTAGTACACACGATTAATAACATTTACAAATATTAAGCTTACTGTAGCTGATTTTGAATACTCTCTATCTAATCGATAGTAATGATCCCATTCTAATGTAGTTACATAACTACTGCGCCTCCGTTAACTTTAGCCCGATAGAGAGTGTAGGTCAGGCCCCATCTCGTACTAAAACAACTGTAGCTGTTCGGATAATTTATTTAGTTTTTCTTTTTTAATTAAAATTTAGAAGTTTTACACTTATGAGGCATTAAAACGGCAAAAACAAAAGTATAGGCGGACACAGCAAATTTATATATTTACCTACCCATACTCTCATAAATCAAGCTTGATGAAAAGGTTGGCGTTGCAAAACTTGAGAGAGGCCCTAGCCAAGCCCGTCCAAAAATCAACACATAAAAGCAATAATTCACTTTTAAATCTGATTTCGTAGCTAATTTCCGTCTACAAGTATTCCCGGCAAACGACAAGTAGGCATTTACCAAATTCTATGACAAAATTTGCAAACCATCATTTACCAAGTTGGCTTTTACGCAAGCTTTATAATGGATCGCGACAAGCAAAAGGTCTCGGAAAAATTCAGGTTATTTAAAGATGGGTGAAAGTTTGTAATAAAGTTTTCAACTGTAATTAATAAGACTTGCAATGTCTTATTAAAATATAGCCATAATATTTATATTCGTCTCTATCTGTAGTTATTACAGCATATTATATATGTTGAGGTCTTTTTGGATACTGCCCGCTCTATTTCTCAATATATTTTGAATACTCATATTTTTATACTCTATATTAAGAGTCTTTGTTTCAGGAACAGAATTTTCCTACTTGGTATTCGATATCTTAGATTCGACTGGAATTATAAAATAAAACGAACGTTTAAATATCAATATGTTTATATCTAAATCTATATTCATCATCTACCACTGAAATCATATCCATAAACTAAAGTTAGCTAACATTTGTTAGCACGACAATAAACACAGAATACGTAGAATTTAAATAGACTAAGCAATGAATATAGTAATACTTGAGTTTGTGAGTATCACACTCAAGTATTACTATTAAATTACGTGAACTGCAAAATAAAAATTGCAAAATATTCTATAGCGTAGGGTTAATTGTAAAACAAGTACTACAAGATGTTTACTGCAACGCCGACTTACTGCATATTAATGCAATAATAAAAAAAGTATTAATTTTTTAACATATGATTGCCTAATAAACATTGTTACAGAACAGTATCAACTGTTCTGTAATAATGTTTACCTACCTAATAATGGTTACCTAATAAACATTATAATGTTTATTAGGTATCTATTAGGTATGATCATATAAAAAAAGGCAATAGTAGATTTTAAAGGCGAATTACAAAAGGATGGCAATTATCAGAACTTTTAAACAAAAGTTGTAAAATATCTCGACGTATGTCGTAAAGAATTCATTCAATCCACAATTGTAATTTATCTATGTCCCCGAACGATAACCACACCAAATGATTAATTACGAGCGATTCGGGTCGAACGTGACGGCACAGTAATCCGGACACAAGAGACGGTTATTTGGGTTAAGTTCAAACCTCATATAATAACTCAATCAAATTACTAATGAAATTTGTAAGTTATAGCTGCTACCTACACATTAATATTAAGAATAAATATATGACATATATATTCAACTAATGAAAGTATAGTGACTGATAGTTACTCAAACATCAATAATTTATCATTCAAAGTAAAGCAGGTTTTAAAGAAAAGGTTACATTATCATTACATAGTATAAAACAAAGTCGCTGTCCCTGTCTATCCGGCCTTATATATGCTTAAATCTTTAAAACTACGCAACGGACTTTGAAGCGGTTTTTTTAATAGATAGAGTGATTCTAGAGGAACGTTTATATATATAATACATGTACACCCGGGCGAAGCCGGGTCGAGTAGCTAGTTACTTATATTTAAAAAAATAGTTGTGATTTATATATATTTAAATACACATTTCAAATTATAATTATTTCCTTGTTCAAATTTTTCTGGAAACGCCTGACCGATCAGATGTAAAATCATATAATGCGTGTTATTCTTCGAAATTGCAGTATGATTAAGTGTAGATTGAATCTTACAGAGTCAATTTATCTGTTTCTCCGTAACCATCGGCTAATAAAATAATGCCCGTTTATATCCTGTTGATGGCGACTAACTATAAGGTGAGTAATATGCTTTATTTCCATATCCCCCTCCCTCCCCCCTCCCCCACACAAACATATTACTTCGTTGTCTAGTCTAAATTTCACTAATTCTAATATAAGTTCTAAATTGGCTGATTACCCATGAACCAAGTATGGGGGGGGGAATACTGTAACACAGGTTTACCTAGCACAGGTTCCGTTCCATTCTCTTATATTATTATACTTACAAGATGCTTATTGTTATTTTTTTTGTGAATATTATTAATGGAATGGATTAAATATTTTTTTATTATTATTTGTAAAATCGTTAAAAAAGAAGTAGGTGTCTTACTTACACAATCTAACCTTAATTCATCTTACGCTACTAATAGACTTGTGAAGCCGTCTAATGTTTGTACCATTTTCTGTACCAAAACGTTGTTTTTGTGAAAAAATACAAACGTCAATATTATTAATCTTAACGTAGTTCTGAAATACCCTAATGACGAACTAAAGACGAGAAAAACTTATCTCTGGATCTACACGTGGTGTGATTGCGGATGTTAGCGGACTGAGAAAAATTGTGTAATTAACTCTTAGTTAAGCCGCATAACAACCATTTGTAGGAAAACATGATTTGTTTATTGTAGTTATTTTTTAACTAAATAATTACAGTGATAAACATAAGGTATCATTGTCATATAACGTCTCAACAATAGAACTGATGTATATAACCAAAAGAATGATAGAGGCCTTGGTACTGGATCATCTCTACTTGTCCCGTGAAAACCTGTGGCGACATTTTATTTCTCATCTCATCGCAGCACAAACTTAAATTTATTTTTCATATTAGTATTAACAACCAGCCATATTTTCATTCTCCCATTTCTATCAAATTCCAGTCATATTGCTTGAAATATGAACATAATTATTTTATACGTAATGCTAATAGGTACATATATTTAAATGAAATTTGGTACACAGATAAACCATGTACTCACTTAACACAGGATTATTCTAACCCTAATTCATGAAAGCCATATAACATCGCAAGAACAGATAGGGATTTTAAAATTCCGATGATTTAATTTGCTTTAAAATAAATAAATATAAGTGTGACGAAATTCTGTCAATTATCACATTATGGGAAAAAGCAACTTTTTAGGCATACGGGAATAAATTCATTATAATTTAACAGCTGCTAATCAAAATTAAATCAAACTATGATGGTTTGCAACTCGTGAGCCCATTATAACTGGCGTGTGTAACAGTCGGCTACGTACCATGACCCAGTTCACAGGACAAGTTCAATGCTAAACTAGTTTGCACAAAATAACAAACGTATATTGGTACGGGGTCGTTAACAAGCAATGGTTCTTATACTACACTTCACGTCGACAGAGCAGTGACACGATTTCCGCATATTTACTACGCAGATATCACATCGTATAGTAGAGTCATAGTCAGTATTTGTTTAGTATAGGTACATTTTATAGAGCAGTTTGAAACTTAAGAACGAGTACCATAAATTCGTGACATAACGACTCGATAGATAACTTGGAACGTCGGAAACCAGACGCCTGAGATCGAGCGTAGGTCCTTTATCAATTACCTGAAAAGGTAGAGGAAGTGCGCTAGATAAGAATTCTTTAAAAAAAAATATGACGTATACATCGAATAGTTGCCCTCACCAACGTGTAAACATTTCGGAACCGCTTTTCCAATATTACTTCTAAAATTCTTAAATAGATAACGTTGTAACTGACAAAGTGCTAAATATCTGTACACCTGACCATATACTCTAAACAGGAGTAACAAATGAACTTATACAAGCTACGATGTTTTTACTAATTAAAAAAAAATATAATCTAATCTATCATCTATTTATTTTTACAGCGTCGTCATGTAAGCACATACTACGGTAATAATATTAATGAATTTAGAAATAATATAAAACATATATCACTATTTCTTCGGTAGTCGGGTAAAATCTCAAAGTCCATGATTTCTCTGACTATCTCCACGAATTCTGAAGTGTATATTCTAATATAACACAAATCGTTTGTGGAGAAAGCAAGCGACAGTGTTTGTCGTCTGCAATTTGTAATAGTTCTCTTTGAGGAGATCAAAGATTGTACTTGACAGCAAAATTTCTTATTCTATACACATTTCTTTACGCTTATAGAAATAAATATACTAATATCAATTGGAAACGACTATGCAAAAGGATTTTTCCTTTGTAACATAGTCTGCTGCTAGAAGAACAGAAAAAACATATAGTTACGGAATTTTTAGAGTTCGGTAGAGAAATGTTTATTTTAGCGAAGTATTGTTAGCATTTTTTTAACTATTGAGTACCCGTGGTTTCGGCACATAACATAAGTACTGATTTCTGACCACATTAACTTCATAAAGGCCATGTATTATATATACTTTTAAATTCGTTTTTATTTGTCGATGGGGCATGCGCTAAATCAGATGGTAAGGCTATGAAAACTGAAACATCTGAGAGATCATTTGTACTTTACTAACTCATGGTACAGGATGTATCACAATTCACAGTAAGTGTATTATACTTTCTAACTGAACAGTACAAAAACAACCTTCTTTCGGATTGGAAGAAATAATAAATGAGAGAAAAGCATGTAGACGACTTTATACAATCTCCTTGTTTCTCAGAATACTTAATCTCTGATAATTTGTTTTACTTTTCAGTTTAGTCTAGCTTTTTAATGACTAAAACTAGACTAAACTGAGAAATGCAGTTTAGTCTAGTTTTAGTCATTAAAAATCGTTATAACAGGTAGACCTTTAAGACAATATACATATACTAGTTACATAAGGTCGGTAGATGAAAAATTATTTATTGTGAAAATAACAGTTTTATAGATAACTGCTTCAACGGTTAACAAAAAACGTTTCAAGATTGTTTGGTTTTCGTTTCTGTTATTCTATTGAATACCAGACTGTGTTGATCTCTATACGAGTGCTATACATTCACGAAGATATTGCAACCTGTTCAAACATTAAAATGGTATTCGTAATTTCACATAAATATTAATGATCATTCAGGTCACTTTGAATTATTCACATTATAATATTCACACTATAACGAGTTTTTTTAAGTTTATAGCGTTTTCTTAATAAAAATAAAGTTTAATTATATTTTGGGATCGCAGAAACTTCTCTTTATAAACTGATGTAGGTAATTTTAATAATGCATTCAGGAGTCTGAAATATTATCGGTGATTTCACTTATTTTATTTATTTATTTAAAATGAAGAATTTCTTCTGAACATATGAACTTGATGCTAATAAGAATTTACATAGTACTAATAAAACAAGTAATTTTATGTCACTTGTATTAATAGAATTAAGTATTTTTTTAAATATTTGATGGCTGTTTGAATGTATTGAAAGAAAATGGTCCTGTAAAAGTGAAATGTTCAATCGAGCATACAGATGTCAAATGATAAATAAACGAAATAAATTTATAATAAGGAAGTGGAAAGTTGCTTATGTCGCAGATAGCCGGGACTAATTTATCAAAGACGGATTGTCGATTATTTAAAGGAGTTACTGAAAAAATGTACATTAAACAAATCATAAAGACACAATATTCCAACTAATTTACAATGGTACTCCTTTCTTTCTGAAGTCCAGTTTGTAGACGGACATGGAAATAGTACTTTAACTTTTTTGACTGCTGAATAGAATAATATTCTATTGTACCTACTATATCGTTATTCTAAATATTTTCGTTTTTATAATAAGAGAAAGTGAAAACATCCAGTCGCTTTCCATTTTAGTAAGACTGATTTTCTGTCATAAACAGCAACTTCATGTGTAGATTTCAGGTAGTTTGATAACCTCCGGAAGGCGACTGGGAACCAAGGACCATAGAAAGTGAATGTAGATAATGGATAGACCCATATCCATGATACATATATACAGATACACTTCGTAATTGATTTTGTAGGCGTGCCTCAAGTCAATGACTTGTCTTAACAAGTTGCGTAATGCTACAAATACAACAATGGAGAACAATAACTAACTGGTGCTATGCAAAATATATAAATCACGATTCCAAGTGTCACTTTGCTTTAATAATAAATGAACACGCAAAACAATATAGAATAAAATTCCATTAAAATCTGTCTCTACATTTCCATGAAAGGTCGTTTACGAGTCCGCGGAGAGAACAAGTGCCAATGTCCTCTATTTTTAATAAAGAATTTATATTTTTTTATTATAGCTTGACGCTTTAACAGTTAAATTAATCATTACAATTTTTTTATTATTTTAATAATCTTTTATTTTTATTTAGAATTGACGAAACTATTAGCCATAAAGAATAAAATCGTAACTGTAATTTTAAAGCGATTAGATCGGTACAAATTATAAAAATATAGAGCGAGCGAACATAACTTATAGAAAACTAGTATAGTTAAAGAGTGGGGCTTTAGTAGTGGTCCTTAATTACTAGCAATGTAAGTAGATCTTGGTCATCATGGTTAATATCTGATTCATGTTTCACTGTTACATCGCCAGTGTGTTAGCAGAGGTATCTTCCACATTCTGCGGGAGTCAGAATTATATTATAATTAATGAATATCCTTAATTCACTGTAGAGGTTATTAATCTTCTGATTAAAATTTTCAATTCAAAATTTTTGTTAGTTACTTATTCGTCGAAAGGCTTGGGAACAATTCAGTGCACATGCCCGGCGCCCGTTTATCATATGCGGGCGAATAGACAGCAACAACTGTTTACAACCACAGATACAGAACATCTAGAAATGAGTCTACACAGATTGTTACTATGTCGGTAAATAATATAATATTTTATTAGACCTGAAATATTAGTGATGTCCAATAATTAACCGTGTAAATATATACAATAAAAAATATACATATTATTTTGTATAAACTCATAGGAACATCTTTTTTTGTATATATGTATTATTACTGTCATCAAAATTTAAAGCTGAATAACATTTGTTTGAAAGACCAACAGCATGTTACTCGTACTTGCTCATTCTTCATGCTTGAATGTGCATTCAGAATGAGAAGTTGAATAAAAAAAATACAAAGATTTCTATTTCTTCGTTGGATTGATGGTTATGATCAACGTATTAGAATGATATATGATAACATAAAGTGGCACAAAACATATGTCATCAATAAATGAATATGTCAATATTATGAACAATATCTCCAAATTAAAATAAAAATGTAATAAGTAAGTAAACAAATTACTATTAGTGGTAATAAATATCATAATACGTAATATTCGTAGTTTGTAACTTATTTTGTAAGGAAAAATAATTTACAACGATTTATCTCAGTACACACATACTCATGTGTGATTTTAAGAGGAAATTTTAATGGATTCTGCCCTTTCCGTTGAGTTGATAATGTTTACATCTAATTATTATCGAGTTGGGCCATTTTATCTAGGCTGACCTCTGTGCCAGAATGTTCAACCTAAGAGTTTCAATTAATTTTATAATATAATTACTAAAAAGGAAATAGTTCCAAAATACTTTGTTTATTTTTTTATTAGATACTAAAATATATGTGTAAAAAATGTTTAAACCTATGCAAATTGTTATACTCCTGGACACAAAGTGTACGACGATCGAACCCGCATTCATTTGAATGTAAAGCAATGTGGGAACATCTATACCATCAAGGTCAAGGGATTGTTGCATCACAACAATAATGCATAAGACTGGCAGCCACTCCCGACTTCGTCTGTGTATGATTTTATACATGATCTTCTGATACGTAACATTATGATAAACTAATATTTTATATCGGTTTCATACAATGAACTTACTATATATTTGTCTTTTATTGTGCAACAGTGCCAACAGAGACGCTGTAACGGACATGCCGTAAACACTCTGAAGATAATTAAATTCTCGTACATGGTAATAAACAATTAATGTTAAAATGAACATAAGTTTTAAAAATAATATACTGCCAAGAACTAATTGTATTATTTTTCCTCATAGCTCTGTTATGATCTTTTTACTAGAACTCTATAAGAGAAACAATCCCACCATACATTATCTCTTATAAATATAACAGCACGTATGAAAAAATAAAAAATTCGACTTAATCAAATCTTACGACATCATTTTAAATTATAGCATGTGTTACTCAGATGTAATTAAACTTTTAAAGTTTTATCAAGATCCGTTCAGTAGTTTTTGGTTGAAACAGGAACAAATACCCATCTGGCTGATAGCCTGATAGTGCCAAATGTCACACAATTACAATTAAACACTTATGTGTTGACAATAATATATTTTCATATTTAATATTAGTGGTAGATAGTATATTAGCAGCAATTAGTATAAATACTACAAAACAAATGATAATATTATTACCATTCAGTTTGTATTAAGTTGGTGTATATCTAAAGATGAACGTATAATTGATGACGTAGGTACTCCAATTAAATGCCTACAGAAATTGTATGATCATGACCCGTAGATAAATTATCTATGTATCACAATGAGTTTATTGAGCCAAAACGTTGTCATGGATGTGGAATTCAATTTGTTTACTAAACTCATTAAGAGCCTGGAACAAAGTGCATCTATTGTAAGACATAACATGAACCTACGTAAATTCAGTAAATAAATAACACTAATGTATATACAAAAATCGCCCATGAGTTAAAATATTTGGGGATTTTTTTAAATGTCAAATATCTCACAAAATTTTCCTTTCCGTGAAACACCAGTTGGCGACCGAGCGCTGCAAACTACATTTATTTTTCTATAAAATAATATAGACGTCATGTTTTGATACTTTTTGTTTTCGTTTGGCTCAGAATTGTGTTAGATAAAGCATGATATACAATATATATGAAATCTATGTTTTTCCAATTCTCTCACATCACTCGCAAAAGACACCGATTCTTTACAACATCCAAAGAGTGGAGTGTATAACAGCTTACAAATACCAGAACCACCGTACAACCCAGTAGTTATTATACCATGCAAGCCAAAAGGTTTGATATAGAGCTTTTTTATTGGTTTACTTCTGTTCCATTGATAATGGGCACTGTTCTAATCAACATTTAGGATATCAAAATAGACTTGATATATTCTTTTTCCTTAAAAATTCCATTAAAAAGTCATTTAAATTATACATTTTAGACAGTATCGATAAAATAATGTTTTAATTTTTAAACTGAAAAACTTTATTAGATAATTTATACAACCGTAATGGCCATTTCTGTGATGAGGAGATTTTAAGGGTTAATTAATTAACATAAAATCTCTTTGATCGGTATTATTATGTTACTTTTAGAAGGTATACTTTAAATATTTTTTTATGTTGTTGTCGCCTTGGGAATTCATTTCATTTTCTTTTCTGACATATGTACGATGTGTATAGTAATAGACAGATGGCTACAATAAAAAATAGTAATAAGTAATAGTAATACGTATATCTAATACTCACTAATTCAAATATGAGCTCCTTCTCATCAAGCTGCCTGAGCTCGTGCCTCGACCGCCGCTGTGGCCTGGAAGGGGTTGCGTGTAGGGGCTGGTCTCCGAGGAAAGTCGGTGTGCCGTCAACCGTTGTCACCAACGGTTTCAGAAGTCCTCCACGCTCGAATTCGTGAGCTGAGATCTTCCTGTCGACATAGAACTCAATTTTAATAATCAGCCGTTACTCCCTCTATACAGTAAGATGGTGGAAAAGACACTTCACATAAATAGTTGTTGAGTATGTATAAAAGTATGTATATTTTTTATCCATCTAGATATATAGCTATTTAGAAACAATGAAGGGACGTTAAAAGAAAATTGTTTATATGATCACAATTTGCCACCTGAAATCTGAATCCAATGAGACAAGAACTTTTACATTACAGCACACATACAATACACAATATTGAACTAATCTATGTACATAAATATTAAAAAATACATAAAACATGAAAAAATTGTAGTTGATGTAGACTATATACAATATCCTACGACATGCTGCATTAACTATGCATGGTAGCGAAATATTTCAAAACCAAGACACGAACTAGAAAATCCGAAAACTATTCTAAAAAGGATACATTACACGAATAAAGGATGACAAGAGATTGATGAAGGGAGGATAAGAGATAACATCCCCTTGTGGCGAGATCAGCCGAATTGATGAGACTTGTATAAAATGTAGTTTGAAATCCGTTGTATAAATAACGTTATGGATTTTAAAGTTTCTAAGCAACAAACTTGTATCACTATTTTATAATTCGAGACATACATTTTGATTAAACGAATATTCGATTATCTTGCTACAAAACAATTATATCGACATAATGTTAAAAATAATTAGAATTTTACTAGCGAAGCAAGCTTATGTATAATCACGGATTTTTATAAGTATGAATAGTTACATTAAATTATAATATTTTGTAGTTTGTTTATTTTTATCGCCAATTTTATGATAAGTACTTATTACAACTTTTACAGCTTTATGTTTAAAAATAATAATTGAGTTTGAAGAATGACTCAAATTGATATATAAAGGTTTTCATTTACATAAAAAATCTCGATTACTAATAAAATAAAAAGATTAAAAATTCTAATGTATTTTACATGTTCCGTATTAATCTAACTTTTTAAGTTTTACAGTCAATTTTTATTAAACAAATCTCTTATGTTTCAACTCCTGACAAAAGACAGGTTGTTGAAAAGCTGTTTTAAAATCCAATCAATGTCACGTTTTCTTTACCGAGGGACGCCTGTGAAATAAATTCTTCAAATATTCAGTACAAAATCCTGAATTAAAGAAGGACAGCGGCTTTCAATAGCTATACAATGGAAAATTACTAAGTATATATTTTCTTTAATCATTAATAATGTAGTTCACATTAATAATAATTAAAGAAAATATATTTAGACGCTATGAAAAATTAAATACAAATATGTGGTCACAAATATTACTAAAATAAGTATAAATTAAGAACTGGGTCTTGGGTGATTCTATATGCTAGTAATTAAGAAGAAGTTTATACGAATTATTTATCATAAACATTTTGCATTATTGATTAAAAAAGTATGTTAAAGTTTACCACAACATTATAAATGTCATAATCGTGGCATTGCGAAGAAATGTGTATAGATGGAAATATGATGGCGTCCTAAAACTCACCATTAGGGTTTTTAATTCAAGGAGTGTTAATGTAAATACAAAGACTTTACGCGATCAGCTTCAATTACGAAGGAGATAATCCAATTTTGATAGTAAAAACATATAATATAATCATAAACAATTCAGATTAAATGATAACACGGGACAGAGAAAGACCCTCTATAAATATAGGATAAATAAATTTAATTCACAGTACTTTTGTTTCTATAGACATGGTACTTTATTATAAAGATATCATCTACTCTGCATTGTTTTGCTTTTCTGCTTACTAAACTTGCCGATAGTTGCTGATTAAGTAGTAGTAAGTCAGCACTTTTTAAGTATACAAAATAAATTAAGTACATGAACAGGATTACTCCTATTGTTCTGTAATCCACAGAAAACAATGTTTACTGAAAGTCGCTAGTACTCCGAAGTACTAGTAAACGAGTGACATTCATCACATATTATTTCAATCATTTTTATAAATAAAAAAAGACCTGACATTTATGGACAATGGATGGATAAATAAACAGGATAAAAATGAAGTCTGAAAACATTTCTGTTTACTTTTCATATTAATCTAAAATGTAAACAATAAATTACTTTAAAATACAAATATTCTTTCATTTGGTTTGTATTAATGAATCTTCTATTTGTCCGATTTTTGTTGTTCCGTTCATCCTTATGGCAAATGAGCATATATTTCAAGCCCTTTATTTATAGTGTATATATTTCAAGCACTTGCTAGTATTCAATCCATCTTTGAATAAGTAAGTTGAAATAAAACTGAAATTCAATTTTGTGTCTTATTCGTATGCAGTAGTAGGCTAGATGTCTAAAGCCCGCCGATGAAAATATATTAGTCCATTACTGTTACACCTTCACTGCGAGAGACTCATTAAACTCGCCGGGTTATACAAAGGTTACAAATTACTAATATTTTTTGTAAAGCCCTAATAACAGTACCTTACTTGTCTCATGCCCAACTGTCTATTGTTGTTAATATAATCTATATCGTAACAAATTAATACTATATATTTGTCTCACAAAGAAATTGTAACATATAGAGGTATAAAAGTCCCCATCAAGATTTATAGGAGCAAGAAAAATTAGGAACGTAGCAAGATGTCACCTTGTTAAGTGAGCTTACCTTTTTTTGCGAAAGGTTGACAAGGTGGATTATTACCTACGTACTACTAATGTACGAGTATATATTTTATGACTAAAAATTGTAAACCAGCTGACAAATCCACTAATAAAAAGCAGTAACAATCACCTACATTTGATGGACGCGGGTTCATACCCTCGCATGGTTCAAATATTTGTAAATAAGGTATGACTGTTTGTTCGGTCTGGGTATTTTCTATAAATATCATGTATATATTTACAAAAAAATGTATTTACATAGTCTTTCCACTACGGCGACTATGTTTTCTCAATATAGGCACATGCAGAAAATACTAATATATAGGTACAGTCCACCAAGAACACTCGTTAAAACTTTCGTTGCCATAAATTCCACTTATAGGTGTTTTATACGTGCTACGAGAGTCATCTCCTAGGCTAAGAGCATTATAGGTATTTTTAATTGCTTCATTGCATTTGTGAACAATTTAGTTCGTGCATTGTTCATTAAGCTATACTTATCAGATGATTTATTAGTTAACTCTTATTTTATTACAATTCTGATTCCGTGCTTTAATTTTCAAAAAAGCATTACATGGTTATGATATCGCAAAATGTCTCTCTTAAATTCACAAAATTATGGAAATTATAATATGTGACATAATAGCATTTAATTCTTTTTTTCTTTTGCATCATTATTTGGAGTATTTAGTAATAACTAATTTCCTGCCGCTTTTTAATAAAGAGAATAAAGGATGGAAGATATACCTCTAAATCATGAAACTTTAAAAAACAGCATGTTAACAGAAATCGTCTACGACAGAATTCAGCATTATAGCCGAGATTTATGTAGTAGAGTAACTATATTAGAGAATTAATTAATTTACTAGTTGATTTGTAACGTTAGTGATGTAAACATACCTAACAGGTGTGGTGGCGCCAGATCCCGAACCAGCTCGAGACGGCGAGGCGAGTTCTGCGCTGGGAGGTGTTGCATGTGACACTAGCCACGCGTCTACCACTTGCCTCGTCGCTTTCCTGTGAACAATTACATTACTAATTAAACAGTTCTGCTCCGCAGAGGTATTTTGAAAATAATTATCCAACTAACATATTACCCTTTTCTATGTATTTTTAATGGTTTTCAGACACCTAAAAAAGTAAATAATCTCAACAAATAGACTATAAAAAGACCAACGCATAAACATCAAAGTGCATAAGAATTTATAAATTTATCAGAATCTTCTGAACAATCATAAATAAATAGTATATGCTCTGATATACGCGCTTATGAACACTCGGTGTTTGATTTTTTTTTGTATTGATAACTAACGAGTAAATATATATAAAAACTGTATATAAGAACCATTTAAAATTTATCAAAATTTCGTAAACGAAATTTCAATAATCAAACATTCAATGTACATATTATAGTCATTATTTCATAGTAGTCATAATGTAATATTCCTCAAAAACTTGTAATTTTATATCTAAAGGTAAATTTATATCAAAATCCAATATAAATATTAAATCAAATAATATATACACTAAACATTGCTCCTATCAGCTAACCAACGACAAACATAAACAAAAGGCTTAACTGATTATACCTATACAAACTGAAATTATCGAAGCCAATATGCAAATCCAATACTTCATAACGAAATATTAAACGGGCCGATAAAACGTAATATACTAAAAAAGAAAACATTTTATTAGGTAGATAACAAATTAATATTTTCATATTCATTGTTTATACCAATTCGTAATCTAATCGTACTTCTTGTTATGGGACTGGTCAAATGTGATATTTTCAGAGTTGATGCATGTTATATTTAGCAGTTTCTTTATTATATTTTATCTAACATAACTAATAAATGATAAACCGATTAAAAAAATAAATGTTTCGTATACAATGTTAATTTTCAAATTTTGGACATTGTATTCTTAGTGGCACTAGTGTTGACTGGTAGAGATATCTTTTAGAGATAAGTCAACCTTTGCTCACTTTGCAATAAAGAATATATACAATTACATATCTATTCAACTTTTAGACGAAAATGCTGTATGCTGTAGACTTTTAAGTTTATCTCGGTAGTTAAATTACAATTGATATGTTTACTGGAATACTCATGTAGTATGTGAAGAAATATATTCTCAATCAATGGTGAACATAACAATAATTATAACTTAATCTAAAAAATAAAATGTAGCATAGCACAAAATCTACATTTAGTTATCATTATCAAATCCTCCAATAAAACACTCTATACTATAATAACAATTTCTACTACGCCGTTTGACTGAATAATGGTTGGTATTAACTGGCATGTTCCGCATAAAATCTGTAAATCTACTACAATAGATCTTTACAAGTGTACTTTATGTGACTGCACGCACAGGCATTTACGATCAGTACCGTTTCTCGAGCAAAGTTTCCTTATTACTGCAAACGTTTATATTCTATAAACGGGCTCTTTGTAATCTTCAAATAAATATTAGTAAAGACCACTGTCGTTTTATGGTTAGCACAAGACACTACTTTATAAACAGAATAGGAACTAATTAAAGTAATAATGAAACTCATTTTTATTATAAAAGTGTCCAATTGCTTAAATGTACATACATTGTTTATTTGGGAATCTTCTATAATAACAATGAAAACTGTAATCACTAATCATACAATATCTTTATTTTGTATCTGTAAATATACATGTACTTTCAACCATTACATCCCTTCAAAACTTATCCCTTAAAAATATGACAATATATATATTTGCTCTAAAGTTCCCTTACGGTCTCTACAATATTATGTTTTTTAAAATTTAGTTTTTACATTTTGACGCCAAAATATGTTTTACTTTTATATGCATACTAAGTAACCTCCTATACAGCTATATTGGTATTATAAACTCTTATTATTTTTATTTATCAATATATAAATCTTAGAATATTTAACATAGATATTTATACATTACCCAAGGTATTTATACTTATTTTTCCAATATACTTAGTTATTAAAATAGATCGAGTTATTTATTAAAATATATCAACTTTTTCTTGAATAACTTACTTTAATGATGACGGAGGTACGAGATGTTTGTGAAAATCAATATCGTTTAACCTTTAACCTTTAAAAATATACTTTTGACTTTCCCTAATTGCGATTTTCTACAGTTCACTATAACGATATCACATCTTTGGTTTTTTTTAATATTATTAAAAGTATTTTGTATTCTAATTTTAAAATGTTTATCTTATTTTATAATAGCAAGTAAATCTTTATTTAAATGCCATGCTAAAATAATTATATAGTGGTATTTTTAAACAGTCAAAAATAATCATCTAAATTAAAGGAATATGAAGAATTCAAGAGTCTATTATTACACTCCGTCTGATCTATATTAAGCCAAACTAAATTTAAACAATGTTATTACCTGTCATTGCGTAAAACGTTGTTTTAATTAAATTAATTGAACATAGATTGACACAATTCCTTTGAATCAATAAGAAGCTTAATGTATTATACGTAATAATATATTATATTACATATATAGATCGACACGAAATTGCGTAAAGTGATGGATGGCAAGGACTAACGAATTATAAACGATTTTCCCAACTTGGGAGATTTGTAAAATGAAAAACGATTGGTTTATTGGAAACGGTCGTATATGTTCAATTCTAATCTTATTGTATCTATAACGAGGTTATTTATTCCAGATCGTTCGGTTCGATTAATTATCAAGAATAATTTAATTTGAAATATCATAATATAAATCAATAAATGTCAATAACGATTAATTCTAATTCAAGTCAAATTACAAAACTAATGTGTGAATATTATTCTGATAGTTCTCTTATACAAATGAAGCCTAATCATTACTAATATAATAAATCCGAAAGTAACTCAGTCTCTCTGGCTGTCTCGCTATCACGCCATAACTACTGAACTGATTTAAATGAAATTTGGTACACAGATAGCCTAGACCCTGAGAAAGGACATATGCTACTTTTTATTGTGAAAAAGGGTTTTAAGGAGTTGATGGGGAGATAAAAGGTTATAAGGAATACAGTCATTTTTAAAGCTAGAAGCTGGAAACTTATATTTTAGATAAATTTGTAACCAACTTGCAAATAGGCTGAAGTTCTCAATTCTCAAAAGTCTAGCAACACCCATCATATTTATTAAATAAAAGTTCTAAAAAAGATTTTTACATTCACTAAAATTTTTTCAATCAACTGCCTAACGATTTAAGCAGTTTTTTCTACCAAATTAATTATGTATTATATTTTACGTATACTTAACAATTAATTTAAATATGAAATCAAGGACAATAATCTAGTATTCAAAACAAACATTCGAGATCAGACAGTTGCAGGAATTGTATCCGAGACAAAAGAGGTAAATCAAGTTTCCGAAGTTGGTAGCTAACGAGTGTCGAGTTGGTAACTCAATACACTACAAGAAGTTTTGCATTAAACAAGTCGAAACAACGAACGTGAATCTAAGAGCCCCCACACACTTCCGATATTAGTCGGACGGCTCGTGCTGACGACGCCGTCCGATTAGTGCAAAATTACTGTTTCCCACTCTCTTCGTAACGGTGACAATAAAACGGGCCGTCTGGACTGGACCTGATAATGTGCGTCCAAATTAACGATCAAAGCAATGCGCAAGATCTCTAGTAATTTCAACGTAAAACGTCTGTCTATCTTTTTGTGATACTTTCATGGCTTCAAGGACATTGATGAAATTTATCTGGAGATATATTGTGTCATAGACATGGATTATCGTTTATCTTAAAAAACTAGAGGAAATCGCGATTAAAAAGATAGTACGAAATATATGAATAAGGCTATGTAGACGGACACAACGTAAAATCGTAATATAATTTATATAACTACGTCATATGCGAAAACGATCTACTTCGAGTAAATACTTGACCAAGAGTACAAATTCATTTACCGAATATAGAACGGTAATTTTATCACAATTCATTAATTCAGTAGTTGAGTTAAATTTCATCGAACCCGAAAATAACTAAATATAAAAGCACAACTAAATTTAGAACAGTAACTTAATTTATTATATTGCAATTATCTATAATCTTAACTAATATTTCACGAGAATGCGAAAGTAAGCTGCTTAACGAAGTTAAATGAAATTTGATGTGATGTTAGATTGTATTACGAGGACAAACGCAGACTATCTTATTTGTAAAATAAAAAAGGAGCCGCGGTTATCCATATGTACCTATTTGTATTGTAATAATAGAATATTTTGTTTAATTATGAAAACATCTGTCTTTATATTTAGTTATTATAATTATTTGATTTTACCTATACTATATATGATTTTACCTAAATGTCGTTTGGCTAAAGTTAGTAATTCGTTTTATGGCAATTGCGTAAGGTTTTACAATAAAATACCAGAGTCTGTTATAAATCTGCCAGAAAAAAGATTTAAATGTCAAATAAAACAGTTCCTTTGCAAAAAAGCTTACTATAAAATTGAAGAATTCGTTAACGATAATAATGTTTTTATAGAAAAACTTTAAATCTATAGCACTGACAATATTATCTGATTACATTAATAATGAGTGCGTAGCGACTTCTATGTTGATTATCGCATGCCTCTTACTTGTTATACTGTAATTATTTATATAAAAAAACATCTATTAAAAAGAGCAACACACAAGTTTCTTGCTCGTTCTTCTTGTGATGAATCTGCATTCCGAATGAGTGGTAGAATCAAAATATGACTATTCAAAAGTGCTTGTAATGAGTTTATTTGAATAAAGATTATTTCTATTTCTATTTCTATTTACAAATCGATATTTGATAACGCACTACTATCTTGTGGCCATTATTCAATACCGCTACCATAGTAATTACAACTACAAATACGCAGAACCTCAAACACATATTACATATGTGTCATGTTGTGACATAATGCGGTATATAATAAAATTTAGTGGGAGTTTCTGGCATGCGGCATGCACCATTTTTAAATTATTCTATTCTATTCCTTGACAGCGGATTCATGCATCAATAGTAGAATCAGTTACCTCGTAGCTTAATTAGACCAAAAATATTTCATTAAAACGGATGTAATGCCAGTCTTATTTCTTTACAGACATATTTTTTTAAGAACTTTGAATTTCTCAATCCCGTACGTCAATCGATAATTATTAATTGTCTGATAATTATAATAAATAGTTCGTTATTTCTATGAATCCATCATCTTGCATGTTACAAAATGCAGCGTTAGCATACAATTTTCATAAATATTTTTGTAGTAGGTACTAAATTAGTGTAGTCGAAAGTTTACATCGAATGTTATTAGACTACTGTCAAATCGTTTTACACCCCCAATATTGACCCAGAGAATACTCAAATCCAACAGAATTATATCGGTAAAGGGATTAATCGAATAAAGATCTGTAATTCTAAGGGCTGGTAAACGATTTAATCCAATAATAAAATTAATGTTAGTGTTAGCTTACGATCAGTTGGGATAACTTAAAATAAATTTAGGGTGTGATTTCTAGTAATAATAATGTAAATTAATCTTCTAACCCACCCAACGTACTTTGATACGATATTACTCACATTTAGATCTTTTCTAGAATATTTTCTTATTTAAAATAATAATGTATGGTGACATTCAGCATTTATACTGTATCCTAAATTATACCACAGCTCTGATTTTCAGTGAGGCCACCATGGGACACGATACAGCGTACAGATATCGAAAGAATAATAAAAACGTCACGAACAAAACTTTATGAATATGAACATACATTCAATCATTTTATAAGCAAATTCAATGTAATATACATATTGTTCAACCTAAGCTAAATCCGAAGAGGGTGGTATATTAGTACCAGGTGGTATATTGAAAATCTGGTACTTTTATGAATGTGACTGTATATGACCATAAATTGCAGTTCTAAATTTCATTGCTACATTGTTTCCTATTATGTAATGTATAATAGTTACATTGAGTTTAAAAATAAATTTAGTTACCTAAAGCTTATTTTTAAATTTTATGTAGTTGTTTATTGTCATCTCTGTGACAGAACAAGTTTTACATTCTAAGCTACTATGTATTTACAAAGTATTATAGTATGAATACTAATTGTACACTTTATTCCAGATACAACCAAATCTTAACATTTTTATCATATTAACATCGCTACATTGTTGTTTTGGTTATATTAATTTGTAAAGTATTAATTTTAATTTAATACATTTTATTACTATTCTTTCAAACATACAACAATTATTGTCATTGGATGGAAATTGGATTACAGAGTAGACCGACTGACCAAAAATAGTTAGTATAGTAATATAGACTATTTTCCATTGACTTCAAAATAGATATTATGAATTCAACCGTATTTGTACATATGATTTGGACTACCTGTGACTACGTACTATTTTCGGCGACTCTTATGGCGAAGCGTATTCCACGTCTTTTAATGTCCATTGAGCGTAAACTAATTTTCGTTTCATAACATTTTAAAGCACAGATTCGGTGTTTAGGTAGTAGATCCAATCGACCGATATGTTGTCCATTGTATCGAATATATTTGGAAGTGGGCACATTGCCATGGAATTAATGGCAGAGATGTCTCATACTGATTAAACTAGTTACCTGTATAGACTGAAACATAGCTGTTGGCTATGTTTATGTATATATACGTCAGTACAAGACGACCAAGTATTTTTTTATTACATGGTCGTCATCGGTATTTTGGACTATTGTCAGATGCCAGAACCTGTAACACTATAACCTACAAAGCCTGACCTGCTATTGTGCGCGCCCTTTTTCAATGTTTCCTAAAGACCCGTCAGGAACAAAAATTGAAGAATTATTCTTAGGAGTATTGGTTTTCATTTCCTCAGGATAGAGTGTCTACTTTTCTAAAGATATATTTTGTTTATACATGAGTCATATAGGGTGAGTAGTAGCGTTTCCTCTTATGTTTGGCAAAATCTAAAATCAAAAAATGACAACAACACAAGTACTTTGTCGCAGTGACTACGGTATTACGGATATTTTTACATACAACGAATGTATTCTTATTATGAAAAGATACAAAGTGTTGATTATGTGCTAATACCAAGTAAAATTTCTAGGTAACTAAATTTATTTATACAGTAATAAGCTGATAGCCACTTTTTTAAATGTATAATCCAAAATATATCAACAATGACTGCGATATCTACTATGCGGTGAACTGGTTACAACCAAGTCAAATAAGGATCCGTAGATTGTTCACTATGTAAACGTTTTAGGAAATCGACATTTTTGGAAACTAACTCAAGCGCATTTATCTTTTCCAAGGTTTAAACAAGGTCATCTGTACTCCTGTCTCTTTATATTATAAGATCGAAAATCATGAATTAGCCAAAACCATTTGCTGGATCCGAATTACAGTTATTATAACAATTCTATATTTAATAATAATACTCTTTTTAAAATATAGTAATTCAGAAATATCGAATTTATACATTTTATTAAATATGTCGCGTAAATTTTTTACACATAATATTAGGGATTTTAATATGCGAAATATGAATACTGAGTAAAACGAAACTGATCAGGAATCTTCTACTATTTATGCATTAGCATAATAAATACTACTTACATAATCCCTGTCGAATGTTGGTTTTCAATCCCGAAAACAAATATTTCCGTTCCCAACAATTTTAATTAACATATCATTATTTGTTCATCCAACAAAACCATCATGACCCGCATTATAAGAAGTTCTACATGTAAAATGAAAACCATAGACAACATATTTTTCAAACCTACTGTGTAGTATCAGGAATTCAATAATACAAGCGTAGTAAGATCAAGCGATTTTCTAAATACAATAAATTCTAGCTGAAACATAATCTGGTGACGGTTGCCACTTATCAGTTATGCCGTCACCATCCGCTTACTTGCTATTCATATCATGCCATATATTTTGATACAAAAAATTAAGTCATTGCGTTATTTTACCTTAAGAAATAATCGTGAACAAACTCCTGATTCTCATCAAGCCAGGCTTCTGTTCGTGCACATTCAGCATCGTAGCAGGTGGTCGCGGGCATGCCGCCGCCCGCGCCACCTGCAGGCTCCTCTATGCTCCGCAACTGTAGACCTGCAACAATAGAGATAAGGTTCAGGGCATTCAATTTACTAATACTAACGTTTAAACCGCCTGAACTTCTACAGCAGGGTAAGGTGAGACGAATACACCTATTGGGGTTTGTTTGTTTGTTATTCCAATCACATAATAGACGTAACAAAATATGTAAATTATTGCCGTAGAAAAGTGCGCAATAAGCAATATAAAGTTCAATTTGAACTACAACTCCTTTGCTTTAAGAAACCTAGTAATAGGTGAGTTCATAGTTTTCACAAAACAAGTTAATGCATAATTATGTTCACAATTTCGTAGCCAACGTTCCACTTAATAATTGGTAACATAATGTATTTCTATAGCCATTACATATGATTTTCTAAAATCACATTTACCAGATACGCTTTCCGCTCCCCAATCGCAGCATCCAAATAAACGAAGAGCCATCGATAACTTATAAAATATGCAAATAGTTTCGTATATGTTATGTTATGTCGACAGTATGACAATGGGCAAAATATTTCCATTACTTGTCAATGCTATGTCAACGTTGCATCAAACTCAAGGTGGCATAGACTTTGTACAACCAGGTACAGCAACCAACCAACTCGATCATTAAAATAATTTTATTGATCTTAATTTTTATTGTTGTAAACAAACCTATGGGAAATGAAAAAATGTCGTCTCGAGTACCTAGTGTCTGACCATCTGTTGAAATATAAAAGAATGATTAGGTTTGCAACATTTTCGTATCATTACAGAAAAATAGGAGCCTACTTTACTAAGTGGTTCACACAAATCTGACAGCAACAGTTTTAATTTAATGTATAAAAATCCTTTCTAAAATTATGGTTTGCTTAGTTATTATTGTTTGTTTGACGAATAACTTTTAGGATTACCTGTAATTAATGCTAACTATGGCAGAAGTGACTATGATGTAAATGAACATTACAACAATAATGACATTTCATTAATAGCACTATAACGCATATAATCATTTCTTAGACATCCCACATTAAATTGTTTAAAAAAATGTGACAACTGTTTTAATACCATTGTATATTTTTTTCAACAATAAAACAAAAAAATACATTGTTCCACTTATCATATCACATTAATACCTATGTCTTGTAGGTTAGAGGCAATAATATATTTTACAATATCACTCATATACTAATTAATTTTAATTTACACGAGTTACTTTTTTCCTTCAATTAACTCGCCGTATAGTAATAATATAGACAAACGTCAAACTATTTTAAAACTACAAAGTGCGAAACGAGAACAGTTTCTACGTACATACAAAAAACAATTACAACATCACCAGTATATTAATTTCCATCACAGCAAGAATATCACATCATTTATATTTTCATCGTCACGAGTTATATTTTCGCAATCACCTACCTCACGTTCTTTCGATATATTAAACTAACATTGCCAGACGTAAAATGCGCAACGAAAATCAATGTATATGATGACCTTTTTGCTTTGGTCATGTGTCCTATTCGCAAACGTGAGTCACATATCATCAGTGTGAACGTACGTGCTAGGTAAGCGACCTTCCTGCGAAGCCTTTGAAATCACCTGTTGATTGTTTACTTAATGTTCAACGCAACCTTCTGTTACTCTAATTGGGGTACGAGTTAGCTGAATTCAAGTTTCTGTTATCACTATTTGAACATTACGCATTAATTTTGGACCGGACCGCCTAATGACCTGTAACGGAAACCGTAATATATTCATAGTATCATTTAGTGAGAGCCTCGGTAGACTAGCGGTTTAGCCGTTTTACTTCCAATGATCGCTGGTTCAATTCCTAACACAATGTAATCATTTGTATAAATGAATACAATTGTTTGTATTGGTGTGTGAGTTTTCTGTGTAGATATATTATTTAGGTACATCTTTACAAAACAAAAAACACAAGGACTAAGCAACCGGGAATAGACGGCGCTAAGTGGCTTGCCCTGTGTTATTAATATTATTATTATTTGTGAAGATTATATGGATATCTGTGTCGATCAACACAATGAAACCGGGACAGCCGTTATGCCATACGATAGAGGTTTAATTAAGATGTGATTTTTATTTCTTTTAAATGTTAAGTGCCAACCAAATCAATATGTTAATATAAGATTGTCATTGCCTAAACAATAACTAATATTCGTAATAATAATAAGTGGTTATCGCTAATAGGAATACATATTTCCTCGTTTAATAACCGTAAATCAAAATATTAATGACGTACATTATAGTAGTAATTTATTCCGTATTCAAGTATTTTACAACTTACCGTTAAATAATACTAATTAGTAGTTCTAATAACGTCATACTTTTGGCTTTATTACCGCGGTTTATTTTTTATCAAAATAGTGTCTCTAACTTCTTATCAAGATAATTTAAGAAAATTGTAATAATAAGTCACAATATTGAATAAACATGAATATGATGGGATTTTTTAAAATATGACATTTGTGAGTGTCGCAATTTTGTCCACTTAGAACTATTGTCAAATCTGACGCTCTATAATTATTTAAAAAATGATTTAGGAATATAGAAATCATAACATTTACGTTAATTTATACTCGAACCGGTTTCCTTTAAGTTGTCTAGTTTTCTACAATCCATTTAAGTATTCCATTCCTAATATAGAGCGCCTATCATTCCAATATAGCATATTTACTAATGAAAATGTTGGAATGAAGATAGAATAATAACTTCTTAATTGTATTAGACACACGTGTCATGTTTTGATCATCGTTGGTGACTGTTGCGTGTTCATTAAATTGAGAACATAAACATTTACCATTCTGTAATTGGAATTGACATAACATGTAAAAGTATCATCCAGTTGTAATTGGACTGTCTGTTTAATTTGAAATTCTTATTTCCACATATATCTGATATGGACGTAAGAATATAGTTATATACTATTTTAGTAAAACTGTATGTAATATGAATATCATTTCAAAAGGATTTTTTACAGTAAACTGTAAAAAAGTTTTCGGATAACTCAGACTCACCCATTTCAGCTGCCAAGCAGCTTGCTTTTTAAACTGTGTTACGATTGTAGATTGAGATGAAATTATACAGTGAAAGTCCTCTAGAATGGCACACACAAAAACTACTAATAAGTGACTTTTATATCGAGTATATATTTGTGCCCGAGAAAGTGAAGCCAAAGATGTGTTACAAATCAGATACTACGAGTACATACAATGGGGACTATTAGGTATTTTATATGTATTATGTTAGTATTCTTTAATAAATATTACTATTATATATACACTATATATCGCATATTAGTGGTAGCGCAAGTCCATAGTGATGTTCATGTATATAGACGATGGTTACCACTTACCATCCAGGTGGGCTGTCAGCTTGCTTGCCATTAAATAACATACAAAACATATAAGTTAATCTGTATGTGTCAAATAACTGTCGACGTCGTCGTGAACGCAAAATTTACATTTAAGGTGGCAAGGGGGAGTCTATGGCCGTGTCTGAGATTAGTTTGGTTTATTATTGGTATTTGCATCACTGGAGAATCAATCGGAAATATAAATTAACAGCCAAATATTTTTTATGTCGACAGTAAAATACTAGGCCACGACGCTATGACGTAAATGTCCTCAATCCCGTACAATGTCATTGCAAAACAAAAGTAATTCAGAACAGTCATCAAAATTACGTATTTGATAAAAGATATTGTTATGACAGATGATCTGGAATTGAATCAATACAGTTACTATGTGGCTATGTATACCTTCAATTTTTCCTTTTTACATTATTGTAATAATTGTTTGCAATCGGTAGAATTTTCGAATTTACATGAATTACGAAAACACTTGTACAAAAAAATTGCCAATCATTATTTGTAGAAGAGTACAATTGTTTTTATGTCCAACAGAATATGTACTTTTATACTACCTCTACCATAATTCCTTTATTATTGTAAGCACCACAGATGGTTTGGCCAAACTGGTATGTGGCATAAAAAATATTGCAAGTTTTAAACTCTGTAGTTACGTGAATATTATACACAAAATACTTACATATATTTTCTTATGTTTACTTCGGTTTTTTAAAAGTGGAACGTGATTGTGGAATGAAATTTAAAATTATTCAATAATCGTGAATCTTTATCCCGCCTGGAAAAAATTAAAAGTGTAGAGCGAAGATGTGTGTAACATTTTCGTTACATTATGTAGACATGACATATACTCCGTTTATGAGTTTTATGGGATGCCGCGATGACGTGTCATTTTGCTGTCCAATCTGCTCTGGCCGCCCACCTATTGACGCAGTCAGTTCGCATCACTTAACACTACATCATCTGGCCATAACAAAGTGTTTAATAATACTAAAAAGGTCAAAGTTGAATGCATTTGAAATTCTTTAACAGAGAAAAGTGCGATAAAATGGAAGTTGTCTCTTTATGAAACGTTAAACGTATGAAAGGTCAGCAGAAGGACGTAGTCCGAATAGAAATGGTTTATGAGTAAACATCATAAAGTCCAGTCACAGTGTACTTTAATATATGCCAAGTTTTTTTTTTTGTGATTAGTACAACGTTTTCTAGATAGTGCCAATTTTCATTATTTCGGAGTATTTAAATGCAGTTAGCCCCAAACTAAGTGACCTTTACAGCTTTCACGCACGTGCTGTTGGCGAGTGATGAGGGAATTCCAAACCAGCAGAAAAACTTATAAAGCCGATGAACGCAAACTCTGCCTGACGAATACGACACTAGACTGAAGGTATTTTTTAAACTGAGACAGTTCAATTATACTACTCTGTGATATAGTACGACTACTACATTTTACATTTTACAGACTACATTTTAATTGCAAACAATTGGCTAAAATATTTCGTTATAATAAAGTCAGTGTTTTATTGTAATTTAGCAGTCTTAATTGTACACAGCACGTAAAGCAGTCATGTAGCGGGTGAAAATAAGAAAATAAACAGAGTTATCTAGTTCTAAGTCCACCTATAGTCAAATGAAACACTAA